CACCGCCACCTGCGCGAGGTCCAGCGGGCACAGCGTCTGCATTCGCACTTTCGCCACGCGCCCTGCAGGGAGATCCACGGAGCCGAGGATAGCGGCCTTGCCTCGGCCGATGCCTCGGGAGGCTCTGGAGTTGCGGCCTAGGGAACCTGGAGATTGGCCGCATTCCCTGGAGAGTAGGCTTCGCCACTGGTAGCTGGCTGGTCCCGTCTGGGGTTGTTGACGAATCGGCGGCGACGAAAGCTGCGACCAGTCCTGAGGGAAGGGGGCGGGGCGGCGGGGAGGAGGCCGGCCCGGGCTCGGATCGCGAGCGGCGAGTTGAGTAGACGCAGATTCGTCAGGCGGGCGGGGCGAGCTGGTTAATAGGCTGCGCACTCCTTCGCCTGTCTTCCTTGCGCGGCCAAAGGTCCAAGAGGCTACAGATTCGTCATTGTCTCTGCCTGCAGCTGCTTGCTTCCTTCACCTGCCTTAGTGGAATCAAAAAAATAATTCCCGGTCAACCAAGCCCTGCCAGAGATGGCAGATTCGGCCACCTTTCTGGATCCGCTTACTAGAACAACTCGGGACAGCCTACTTCCGCTCCAGAAGGAAATAACTAGAGCCCAAAAGTCCTCTTAGAATCCAGACGAGAAATCTCTCCCAAGAAGTGTTCGAATAACCCTGAGGATCCGAGCTGGCGAATCTGCCGATCTCGCTGTAGGCGGGGCCGCAGCGCCGCGCGGGAAGGGGCGTGGCCACAGCGCGGATCCGGGCTGTGTGAGGCGCTTCCTGTCTGACCCTCGAAACTCCGGCGACTGGGACGGGTGTTCTTCAGGCTGAAAGCTTCCCCCAGTACCGTAGCGATGATGCAGGCAGTTGCTAGGCCTCTTGCATATGGGAGGGAGCGTTTCCTTCCCGTTATTTCGTTTGAACCTTTTTAAAAATTATTCATTTGACAGATAAAAGGAGACAAGATTGTAAAAGTGCCACATTTTGCCATGTCCAGCCCGCCGCTGGTGGTTCAACCTGAGGTCGTCTCAGGGTTCTCTGACAAGTTTAAGTGGGACCTGTAAAGAAGGAAGGTCCTTGCCAGGGATGTAGCTCAGCGGCACCGTGCCTGCCTCGTAAGCGCAAGGTCCTGAGTTCGATCCTTGGTACCAGAAAGGGAGGCCCAACAGGAATCCCCGCATCATGATTTCAGGTCTGGCTCTCTTCGCTGGGTCTCACTATAACCTGCAGACAGGATCTTGCCCCCTGGGGCTGAAGTCCCCCTGCAGCGGAAGCCGGTATGACCATAGGCACCCTAAAACCCTAAGCCTCTGCAGAAACGATTTTCACCGGAACCTCGGCCCGTCCCTCGCTATATGACCTTGGGCAAACCATTGACCACTCTAAATTTAAGATTCTTTCTCTAAAAATGAATGGTAATTCCAGTTGCACAGTACTTATGGAAGACACCAGAACAGCGCAGCAAAGGCCCTTGGAGCCTGGTTTTCAAAAATTCACAAGAACAGGTGACAGGATTAGGGCTCTTGAAAATTATGAAGGAAATGTCACTGATTAGCTAATGGCTTTTGGAATGCTCATCAGCCTTCCTGGGTCTTGGTTTCCTTATCTCTGAAATAGAAGTGATAAAGACTTGTCACTTGATCTTCTTTTTTTTTTTTTTTTTTTTTTTTTTTTTTTTTTTTTTTTGAGACAGGATCTCACTATGTAGTTGAGGCTGACCTGGAACTATGTAGCCCAGGCTTGTCTTGAACTCACAGTGGTCCTTTTGCCTCAGCCTCCCGAGTGCTGGGATTACAGGCGTGCACAGGGCAAGACTTGTCACTTGAGATGGTTGTGAGGGTTAGATGAGAAAACTATGAAACGCCCTAAGACACAGTCTGAAGAAAGAAATTTAGTCAGACATGGTGGCGCACACCTGTGATCCCAGCACTGGGGAGGCTAAGGCAGGAGAATCACTGCAAGTTGGAGGCCAGTCTGGGTAACAATTCAAGGACAGCCTCAACTACATAGTAACACCCTGTCTCAAAAATAAAAGAAACTTACGGGAAATCCCTAATGGAAGAAAACAGACCATGAGCTCAAGAGCAAGAGAATCATGAGTTGGAGAACAACCTTGGTAATTTAGTGAAACACTTGTCTCCAAACAAAAAAGTTCAAAAGCCCATAGCCTTGACATAACTTGTTTCCATATTCAGAAGCTATGGGCCCTTGTCAGCACCTAATGGGGTCATACCTGGAACCCACTCCCCACCAGGTGCACTTTCCTCCACCTGGCTCTTAGAAATAAAACTTTCCAGGCTGGGGATTTAGCTCAGTGCTGCTGCACCTGCCTCACAAGCACAAGGTCCTGAGTTTGATCCTCAGTATCACACACAGGAATAAAACTTTCCAGGTGTGATAAAGTCTGCAACCTTACTACACTGGCAGGCTGAGGCAGGAAGATCTTAACTTCAAGCCCACCGCAGGCAACTTAGTATTGATGATGTCCCATCTCAAAAATTAAGAAGGGCTGGGGATGTAGCACAGTGCAAAGGCCATAGTTTCAATCCTTAGCACCACAGAAAAGTGACCTTACCCAAGAAGGCCTCCCCCCACCAACCCCATTCACAACCACAGGAACATCTGTGAAATACAATTTATTATACAAAACAAGGTGCATCAAAAATTCAGTGTCAGAAGAGTTCTGCATTCTAAGGGCTAGGAACTGGATCTTCTCCTTTAAACATCCTCCCCAAGCCCTAAGGAGTCAGGCCATGCACACAGATCCTCAGTCTTCAAAGACTACCCCACACCCCCAGCCTGGGCCCACTATGATATAAATGTGTGTCAGCCTAGGAAAGTGGTACAGGCACTGCCCTTTCTACATATGGCCACAGTGAGGAGTTGGCTTGAATCTCTCAAAACAGTAAGGCTTCTTCTGGAAAAGGCTGGGTCTGTGCCTAGTGTGGAAACACTCAAATGCCCACAGCAACCAAAGCAAGAATATGGAACCCGTCAAAATTTGGGAATGGGGAAAAACTTGCCCCAAAATGCGAACCATGAAATAGATTTTACTCAAATATGACAAGGATTGACAGCATTCAGGGGCTGTGTGGGCATGTAACTTTCTAACCTTCACATCCCATGAAGGGACAAGCAGCTGAGGGTCAGCACCAGAGATCCCACAGAGGCTCCTCTGCCTTCCTTCCATGTACCCAGGCATCCTTGGACTGAGGAAGTTCCATCGTCTCCCAGCCCAAGTGCAGTGTAGAGCTTGCAAAACCCTTGGAACAGACAGGAAATGTGGGACCCTGTGGGCAGGAATCTGGTCTCTACCTGAGAGTGGGTACAGGAAGTGGCTCCAGCCAGGGATAGTAAATGAGGTCTGCAGGTCCCTAGGGCCTCTTGCAGACCCGAGGGAGGCAGTGCTGGCTGTAGAAATTAACAGCCGTCTCACACAGCCTGCAGCTCCCCCTGCAGGCGACTCAGCTCTTCTAGCTCCTGCTTGTGGCGGTCTGTCTTGTGGGTGACCAAGGAGCGGTAGAAATGCAGGGCGAAGGCCACAAACACCAGTCCTACAGGTACCATGATTGCTGTGGAGGCCATTGCTGCTTGCCAGCCTGGCCCATGGGTCTCCTCACTACCACACTCTTGACGGGGTGGGCAAGCCTCAGAAAGCTCAGCCTGTGATAGGGCTACAGAAGCAGAGGATGGTGGGAGGCTGGAAGCTGGACCAAGGGAGACAGCCACTGGGGACAGAGTCCCAGGCACCTGGGCCCCAATGGGCACAAATTTGACCCAGCCCACCAGGACAACTTCAGCCAAGAAGAGAAATGTGCCCAAGGCAGTGGAGAAGCCCCAGGCCAGTTCCACATAGCGGTGGAGTCGTTGGTGTGGTGACTGGTGGACAGAGTTGAGGTTGTGGATGTTGCTCACAGCTTCAATGTGGGGCAGTAGACATGTGGAGACCATGAGTGCAAACAGGTGTACAGCCACTAGCACAGTGGTGCAGGCACTAAAGGCTACCAGCAGGCCTGGTGGGTACTCATGGTTGTTCTCCAGCTGTACCTCCACCATGGCCACCTGTGGGCACAAGAGGGAACAGGTTGAGTGCCTTGGCCTTCACAACAGAGGATGGTGTCTTTTGTTTTGTTGCCTGTGAGGACATACCACACATATCTCTAGAACAATCTCTACTTGGCAGAAGGAAAGCACTCAGGCTTAAAAGGCTCTGTCCTGTCCAGGGTCACGGTTTCCCCACCTAGCTACCAAGAGGGCTACTGGCCATGGTGGAACACCATGGTGGGACCTACAATCCCAGCCCTCAGATGCTGAGGCAGGAGGATCTAAAGTTTGAAGCCAGTCTGGACAACACAGAAAAGCCCTGTTTCAAAAAGCTAAAACAAACGCATACACACAAGCAGAGCATGGTGGCACATGCTCTTAATCTCAGCATTGGGGAGACTGAGGCTGGAGAATGGCAATTCCGAGCCCAGTCTAGGCAACTTAGTGAGACCATGTCTCAAAATAAAGAGAACTGGGGATGTAGTTCAGTGTAAAGCCCTTGGGTTCAATCGTCAATAACATAAACACACACACACACACACACAGACTAGCTGACATTTCTGACAGTTTTACTTTTTATTAACATAAAGAGCATAAACTCTGGGCTTCCTAGGTTTATTCTCAGCTCTACAAACTTCAGGGGGTTTTGTTCGTTTGTTTTGAGATGGGCTCTTGTCACATTGCCCAGGATGGCTATGAAGTCTTCCTGTCTCAGCCTCCTGAGTAGCTGGAATTACAGGTGTACATCACCACACCTAGTAAACTGTCTTTTCATGGGTGTGTGGTTTAGACTGAACCATAATCTACCACTGAGCTATATCCCCAACCCCAGCTGTGTAATCTTGAGCAAGTGACTTAGTTCTCCCTGTGCCTCAATTTTTTTTTTTTTTTTTTTTTGTACCAGGGATTGAACTCGGGTCCTTGAGCTTGCAAGGCAGGCCACGGAACCGCTGAGCTAAATCCCCAGCCTTGCTTCAATTTTCTATCTGGAAAATGGGGATTAAAAATAGCACCTATCCGCATTATGTGGTTGTTGGAAAAATTAAATGAGATAATACACACTGAGTGCTACAAATAGTGCTGATAATATGGTAGGACTGTTTGTTGGTTTATTACACTTGATGCTAAAATCCAAGGCAAATTTGAAAATTGGCACATCATGAACCAAAGCCAGCTAGCAGATATGTTTTGCTCATATAATGCACTTTTAAAAAAACTGAACAAACTGCCAACTTTTTTGTGGGTTTTTTTTTTTTTTTTGAGACAGGGTCTCACTATGTAGTCGAGACTGACCTGGAACTCACTATGTAGCCCAAACTGGTCTCGAACTCACAGCGACCCTGATCCTCCTGCCTCAGCCTCCCAAGTGCTGGGATTACAGGCGTGCACCACCATGCCTGGTGGCTTTTTGTTTTTTGAGACAGGGTCTCATTATGTAGTCCAGGCTGGCCTTGAACTCATGGCAATCTTCCTGCCTCAGCCTCCCAAGTGCTGTTGTTACAGGTATGCACCACCATGCCCAGAAAAATTGCCAACTTTCTTTTTAAAAAAGCAATATTCTCTTTATTTAACAGCCTTTGATATTTAAAATACAACGCATTAGGGCCAGAGATTTAGCTCAGTGGCGCCACACCTGCCTGGCAAGTACAAGGTCCTGAGTTTAATTCCAGGGACTAAAAAAAAATACAACTCATAAACATTCATATCGATAACAGAATCCTCAGTGTTCAACAGTGCTTTGGAAGACAATCTTTTGAAGGATGAGATAGGAAGGCCTGTGTGTGGGTAACGTCAAAGGATTCTACAAGACAGGGCACACACCAAAGGGCTCCGGAGTTGGGTCCTGAGCGAACAGCACTGCCACAGTGCACTTGGATCACGAACTGCCAAATTTTTAAAACTCAAGAACTGGTGGTACATGCCAGTAATCCCAGTACTCAGGAGGCTGAGGCAGGAGATTGGCATGTTTGAGGCCAGCCTGGGCTATATAACAAGACCCTATTTCAACCACCACCACCACCACCACCACCCCCCAAAAAAAAGAAAAAAGAGTGGACTCATGGTCCTTTCCTTCAGATAGGTCATGGGGTCTTTTGCTCGAGTCCTTACTCAGCCAACCTGGCATTCATATGACCTGCCTGGCCTTTGAAAACATTTGAATCGATAACTTTGTTCTAAGCATGTATAAATTTGGACTCTAGAGCCACAATGCTTAAATACAAATCCTGCCTCTTATTTACTATTGGACCTTGGGCAGGTATCTTAACACCTCTGACTTACCTGGCCACTGTACTGATACTTATTTCATAGGGCAACAGAGAGATGATGCACATATCTCCGAGCACAGCCCCTGGTCTTTAGTGACAGCTGAACATAGTTGTGTGGTGCTATTTTAATTCAGGCCACCTGAGTTTGAGAGTCTAGCTCTTTCTCCTTCTCCGGTTCTTACAGAATCCATGGGATTGCTCTGGGGCTGGGGCTGAGAGGAGAAGTGAGGTACTGAGCTTGGCAGGAAATGGTAGGAAGACAAAGCTGAATATTTTGGGAAATTGGGCCATGGTGGATGTCAGCAGGAGTTTTCCAGAAAAAGGATCTAGGCCAAGGTTCTCAGTCCTGGTCTCTCCCAGGGCCTGCCCCAGCCTTGTTACCCCTACCCACTGGGGTCAGTCCTGCCTTCAGAACCTACACATTCAGCCTCAGTCCTGCAGATACGGCCTTGACATCCTGCAAGTTCTCTAGCCGACTGGACCGTCCTCTAGGCTGCACACTGGACCGTGGAGCTTCCGTTTCCTGTATGGTCTATACAGATGGACGAGAACCAACTCCCAGTCCCAAGATATCCTGTTGTAGTTCTAACCCCCACAGAACACATAGCTCTAGGGCAGTGAGAGCAAACCTTTTAGGGCTTTCAATGATACAAACAGCCTGCCGCTACAGCACGTGTCCCATAGGTTCACCACCACTGATCTAGGATGACCCTGTTTCAGACTTTCTCTGTCACGCCTGTCAGATACAAAGGTTGTGGCACAAGGAGCAGGGACTAACCCAAATAACCTAGTACTACGACTCCCACTTCAGCTGTCTGATATTCACCCACACAGGAGCACATTCCTAAAGGACCTCCCTGTGATGACAGAAGGACAACCCTAGACAGTAGTGGTGGTGAGTCTAGGGCACGTGTGACGTAGAGAGCTGTATCATTGAAAGCTCTCAAGAGTTTGCCATCACTACCCTGGACTAACAGGGTTTCATTCTATACCCTCACCTGCTAAGGATCCTTGACAGAGCCTCAGTTTTCACACCTGTCCAACTGGCATGTTGATTGGAGCCACACCAGGTATGTGGGTCTTGCTCTGACATGCCTGGACCTAGGGTTCCTGAGGAGAGTCACAGCTCATGCTTGGTGGGTGCTTGACAGACTGCAGATGCACGCTACCTACGTGATCGGCCAGTGAGGGAGTGGAGGCCCATCCCCAGGTCACACTGCCAGCCACTTGCGTTATAAAGCCTGGACTTAACATCTGTTGGTTCTGCACCCCAGACCTTCATCTGTACTAACTTCGTGAGGCCATGCAGGGACCGTTAGTGGCTGTCATCCTCCCACATCTGCAGCTTATCAGATGGAGTATCAGTCATCAGCTTCCCTCCCCACGGCATCGTCTCTGCCCAGTTCAGTGACCCTTTCCTGCAGTTTATTCTCCTTAAGCCTCTGGTTCTGTGGATAGCGTCCTCACCCAGCTGATTTCCCTTTGAAACTCTCAGGACTTAGTAACCATTTCTGCCGGGATTTACCGCCTTTCCCCACACCTTTGGGATTAATCTTCCTATGATCCAGTGTATGTTCCCGGGGTTCTGCTTACACCTCTCCCCAAGGCCTTCTTCAGTCCCTTGGGCCCCTTTGCTCCATTCACTTTTTGTTTTGAGGCACCGGGGAATCGAACTCAGGACCTTACGCTTGCAAGGCGGGCGTGGTGCTACCGAGCTAAAATTCCCAGCTATCTACCCTCCTAAGAACCCGTTTTTCCCTTTCTTCTGCCTTCTCCAGTCCCGTTCACAACGCCAGACCCCGTGCCCCCACTCTGTGCCCCTCACCATGGCGAAGCCCGACAGCAAGGCGGACGTGCGGCTGGAGGCCTTGAGCTTGGCCCGGCTGAGGTAGAGGCGGCGCCAGCTGAGCGCCCGCAGCGAGTGCTGACTGGCCCCCATGAGGTTCAGGTAGCCGCGATGCACGAACTCCCGGTACGTGGCCGAGCCTGCCGGGCTCTCGACCTCAGGGTTCAGCAGGGCCTGCTCCGTC